CTTCGTGTCTGTCTTGACAGGATGGGACTTCGGTGGTGTGTAATGAGTCTCTGCTTCTATGGGATCCTGCAGGTTGATGCCTCAGGTAAGTGAATGACTTTTGACAATCAATTGAAGTTTAAGTCATGTTCAGGACAATGTATCCACTCTTTCTGAAGACTAATTTAAAAGAAAATAATGCTTCTGTCCATTATCTTCTGTGGTAGCACAGAATCATATGTAGAAGAATTTGGTGATAGGAATCTGGTGATAGAATCATTGATGTCTCTAGTCTTCATGGACACAAGACACTTTGGTAATGTGGTCCATTGTGTATAGATAGAGGACATTTTCATCACCTTCAAGACCATTAGAAGACTGTTTCTTTTCCCTTACCCTAGGACCAATGGGAGAACAAATGGCAGTGATAGTAGCACTGTCTATTTCTCAAGCTTGAGCCTGCAGTGAGGAAGGCCTCAGTGGTTAATAGGTCACTAAGCCCCTAAAAACAAACCAGACACCAAACCAAAAATCATAAACCAAATCAAAAACCAATGATGGGTTTCTGCCGTAATACTTCTGTATAGGAAAAAAAAAAAAAAAAAAAAAAAGAACTTGTCTGTAGTCTCATTCTTTCCTGGGAGGTTACTCTGTAAGAGGAGCCAGCCAAGACCTTTACTGAGTTTGAATAAATGAGAAGCCATTATCAACCCAGATCATATGAATTCAGAGTTGGAAGGGCCTTGATATTAGAAAGTGCATGTTTTGCCATCTCCTCTCATCTCCAGCATTGCTGTTCAGAATCATCCCCTGGTACTTCTAACTAGTGATCACCCATTGTATTTTTGGATTGATTGCATTTTTAGAAAGTTTTTAGTACAAACAGAAATTTTTCTTTGTCATTACCATACATGTTTTCAGTTCAGCTGTATGATTGAAACAGAAAATAGTTAATGCAATGTTTCTTTAAATTTAATGCTGGAATATGGGAATCCTCATTTGAAAAAAAAAAGATTGCCATGTATAATTTTTTTCTCCTGAATACCATGGACTATACTTTGAATATCTTTGCTTTAACTCTTATTCTATGTGAGAAAGCTTAAGAAATGTTGAATCAGCGATTATATAACTAGGACCCCAGTGTTCTGCAATATATAACTTCAACTATGCATCACGTGGCATGGATTTGAGCCCTCCTACCAACCTGATCATCCTTGCTGGGTGCATTTCAGTTTTCTATGCCACTTAAAGCATTGTATTAGAAACCAAAAATAGGTCTAAAGGAGGGGTAATAACTAGGACAGAGTACAGCTCAAAGCTGAAAGTAGAGATAACTTCTAAACTTGTTGGCCCTTTGGGACTTCACAGAGGAAAGGATATATTTTAACAAGGGATGATATTCATTGAGATACACTGCTATATAGATGGTGTATACTAGAATCACAACATTTCTCCTACTTGTTTGTGTTTCTCATTTGATTGTGACCGACTCCATGAGTCCTGATTTTTAAATATGTTGAATATAACCCCCACTGTTAATTTGCTCTTGTTTGATTTAGTTCTGTTTGAATGTTAACAACTCACATTCCTTCCATCCTTGTCCATTTCAACTGAAACAACCCTGCCAATCACTTTTTATTCCTCTCCTGTCTTTCATTTTCTTCATACCGGTTATTATTTCCTGAATGACATTAACTCTTTCTTCTCTCTTCTTCTCCTACCTGTCCTCCTTCTGTTCCTCCTCCCCACTCTTTTTTCTCCCTAAACACCTGTTCTCCTCTTCTCCTTTCTTCCTTCCCTCCCTCTCTTCATCATTACTTCCTTCTCTTGGTTTTAGCCACCCGAGGGCACAGACTTGTCCATCTGTTTGATCTCCAAACATTTGGTATGATGAATGACACACAGAGACATAGTAGGTGCTCAATACATACATGTTAAATTGATGAATAAGTGTCCCTCCATATCACCCTCTTTAATACCCCCTAAAACTGGCTAGCTTTATACTAGAAATGTTTAAATCTATACTAGTAATTCACTGTGGATCCATGTTCTGCTTCACCTTTAAGGAAAAGGAGAGATGACCATGTCTCTCTTGTTGAAAGATCAAGGAATTCTGAAGTTAATGAGAGCTGGTTCCTCCTCAGTGGAACAGAGCTGCTTTTTGAATGACCTTTACTGTAATCCATCCAAGGAGTGTCCCTTCCCCAAATGCCATTGGTAAGGGAGCTCTCTACCCAGGAACTGTGACTCATACTTCTGCCAGGGGAAGCTGACTTCTTGAATAAGATGAGTTCTCATTCCAGCCCCATTGAGTCACCATGGGAGCAGGAAACATGCTGTAATCCCCTCGGCCCATCTGGCACATACTCATTTGCCTTCCTCATGAAGAGGTGTATTGTGTCTGCGTCAGGGCCGCACTTCCTAGTCAGAGGGAAAGAAGTCAAAAGGAAGCATTGTTGACAAAAATAAAAGGGGCAACTGACTGTGAGGAGGAAAGGGACCATTGCGCATCTTGAGGGATCAACCAAGTTCTCTGTGTGCCAAGGTATCACTTTTTATGATGGAGATGCTGGCTGACCTGCTGGTCTTCAATGAGGCTCTCTGTGCTTATCTTAATGGAAGCACCAGTTTTTAAAAGGAGCAAAAAGAGAGAGAGTCTGAAAACCTCAAAGCACACTACATGCATATGGGATTATTAAGAATCTTATCTGTAGTTTGGGGACTGTCTATGGAATCTCCCCTTTAAAGAGAAGTTTCCAATTTTAAAAAAGGAACCATAACAACTTCATGGTTTAGTGGTATGCAGTGGGACACGGCATTCTGACTTCCAGATATGGTCTTCTGGTAGCAGAACTATGATTTCTTACCCTCCAGGGGTGGGTGTGCAACATTGACATCTCAGGTAGTGACAAAAGCAAATAATAATTTAAAAAAAATCATCATTATTTCCTTTTAAGGAATTAAATCATAGATAATTATAAAAATGATATATAATTATAATGTAGTAGAGTAATAATAATAAAGTTTCCTTTGTTTAAAAAAAGCAGTTTACATTTTACATATTCAATATCATTTAGTTCTCACACCCAGATTATCAGGTGGCTGTGGCTATTAAACTCCCCTTTTTGGATAAGAAAACTTAGAATCAAAATGGCTAAATGAACTGCCAAAAGTCACACAGGTAATAACTTAGCATAATTGAGACTTCAACTAGTTTCTCAGGTCCCAAGACTCACATTATTCTTACTAGATATGCTTCTTTGAGGCCCTGGCATAACGTAAATAATTTAGAAAGAAGTCATGATCCATGGAATTACAGGTAATCATTTTGAAGGAGTCACAAGTAATCATTTTGCTAATTGTTGAGGAATTACTCAGTAATGGTTTTCTGTGCTGCCTAGATAAGGAGTGTCTTTACAGTCTCAAGACCTTTTCTTCAGAAGGAAAATCATGACAATCCTAATTTCAAACCTCAGGATTCTCATTTTTTGCTTGTTATAGTATTTAGTACTTCCGCTATTAAACTCAAAGAAGTTTCCATTTGCAACAATTACAAAGGAAACTCTGGAGTCACCACACATTTCTCCTTGGCATGTTTCCTGTTAGCTGCATGTTAGAAACTTAAACTGTTAAAGTTGCCTTCAGACTAGAAATAAAGACGTGGAACCGTTGACTCCAAATTGGAGAGACAGTGAAAGTGGCACCATATCCTGTATGGTGAACTTGAAAGATAGTGCCTCAACAAAAAACATTTGCTGTGCAGATCATATAAGAAAGAATATGCACTGCGTTATTTCCTCAAAATGTATGTATGTATGTACCTACAGATCTTTTAATATAGCTTTTTATTTCAAAGTCAACAGTTAACTACATGCTAACTGCAGGGTTAAACTCCAAAATATTCTCATTGGGGTAAAGGGGCTGTTTTATAGTTTAGGAAATGAAGAGCCAGGGAGATAGCTTAAGCACATGATGCTCATGATAACAAGTCTGATAGAGCTGGTTTTGAAGGCTGCCTTGATCTCAGAAGCAGGGCTCTTTCCTTGATATCACATTGCCTTGTTTCTGCTATTGAAAGTAAAATCCTTTGATTTCTCTTTTATGAAATCTGAAGAGAGTGGAGACAATCTATTGATTTATTGGGCATGAATTAAACAATACAAAATAAACAAATTAGTAAAGACACTGAGTTATGCTTGTAATTTACCATATTAAGTTCTGATTGTTGTTTTACTGCACAAGCTGTTTAATGACATTTAAAAAAATCATTTCATCACTTTTTGTCACTACGTTCTGACCTGTAAACCAAACCAGCCAACCAACTACCAACAACAGCGCAGACCCCAACTAATTCAAGCTTGTTTTCATTAAGGAAGATTATGCCTTATAAACACCCATGAGGTACACCCTTCTTATTCCTCAGTTAAATGGCTTCTGAGGACAATTTTAACAACAATGATTTTATTACCTTCTAAAGTTAATCCATTTGAACATTCTATTTTCCAATATCTAGGGTGAAAAGGGGGAGGTTCTTGTTTTTTTAAAAAGTCCTACAGTAAAATTTGAGAAAAAGGATATAAAATAAATGGCCAGTGGGATGCCATGAGAGAGCAGAGAAGTCAATAATTGTTTCTAGAGATAGTGAGGAAGACTTCTGCATCAATGAATAAGTGCCTTTTTCTTGGAGGAAATGCATTTCTTATTTGGGAAGAGAATAGTACAGGGTAATGGAAAGGATAGTGTAAAGGCAATTGAAACCAAGCCAGGCTGGAATGGGAGATTGGGAACAGATTGTGGAGCACAGGAATCCATTCAGAAAAAGACAATCATTGTGTTTAATGTATTTAAATATAGTTGGCTAGAGTGCTTCCACCCCTCAACCCCAAATTCTATCTTATTTCTGCAAGGATGTATCATGTTTTTAATGCTACGTAATGGTCCTTTCAGCTTTTGTTAGGAATTCAATTTGTTGCCAGCCTCAATGGCCTCATTTTATTTGAATGTGCTTTTGAAAAACTCCACACTCAGACGTGCTTGTGACATTCAGTCCTGTCTCTGTCGCCCATGGTTGGTCATACTGAACACTTGTCATTTCTATGCAATTTA